GAGCAGCTGAGGGAGGAGCAGCTGGCGGGTCACCAACTGGGGCAACAACTCGAGGGAAGAGTGGGGCGTTGGCCTGGCCGAAAGGCGGCATGGCGATGGGGGCAGCACCTGGAGCAATAGGATGTTGCCAATCGTGCCAAAACGGCTCTGGAGGGTGCTCCCGGATGAGAGGGGAATCATCTCTCTCATCCATGGTGTCATACCCCGAGTCATCGCTAAGCCAATCCCCCCACTCTTCTGAGTCGTTCCAGTCAGATGAATTGTCAGTCTGTTCACTCACCTCTTCATCGTCTACAGGTAGGTAGGGGGGGTACTCACCATACTCACCTTGCTGTTCACCGTCATCAGCATCTGGTGCTTCATCAGAAGAGGGTGAGGGTGAGAGAGGGGTAAAATACTCACCATACTCACCTTCGCTGATACGCTGGGTATCAGTGTCCTGAGCTTCACGAGAAGAGGTGGTGCTCTGGAGACTGTCATCCAGGATCCTGATGACTTCAGGAAGGCCTTCTTCTGCAGGGCGTTCAACCACATAGTCAAGACGCCCTGTGAGGAAACAATTTTTAAAATAAGATTAGGAATGTAATAGACACCCAGTGTTAAAGCAACAGACCTACATCTGTTAGTTTGAGCAGAGCATGAGAGAAAAGCATTTTATGTCAGACTGAATGACATTGTTCAATCTTTAAGTGAAGTTTTTTAATAGAAGACCACCAAACCTCCAGCAAGGCAGCTCACTCTGTGTACTTTTAAGGTGACACTATATATGACACTATATTGACACTCTATTTAGTGTACATTCAATTTGTTTTATTTGTTCTTTGTAAGCCTTTATGCAAACACTATGTTGGAATAGGTAATGGATAATAAGTATTGATTTGTAAATAGCCGAACATGAGTAACTTATTATATAAATATACTACAGTACATTTATAACTAACCATGCAGCTCATTCTCCTGTTTTATTTACAACTCACGATGTCACACATTTTGAAAAAAGCTCAGAGGTTAAATATGTGGATGCAAACCATAATGTAACATTTAGACCACATGTACCAATCGCATTTTTTTTAAAATAAAAACACAACCTCCTTGGCAAGAGTAAAAATTGCACACACAAAGCTCTGCAGGTATGTCTGAAAATGATGGTCAAGTGAAAAACAAACAAACAAACAAACAAACAAACAAACAAACAGAAACTCTTAACTCAGAATCCACATTTTTAGAAATGTGCACAAGGACTGTATCTGCCATAAGGACAGACACATCTAATCTGTGGTAAACATGCTACCCCTGTGGAAATATCCCTGTGGAAATATCTCTCTCTGCTATCCAATAAGGTTGAAAGCATTACTGTAACAGAAGATAGGTCTTAATGCCATTATTTCTACTGTTTTCATATTCTTTTGATATTATTTTATTTGTATTTTTTTTATCTTTGTGTTTTGCAGCAGAGAAAAAATATCGTTTGTCAATAAAGCGTTTGATCCGGAGAAGAAAAGGATGTCAGGAGGGGACCTGGATCTGTGTGTTTACGCCTGCGTGTTCTGACGCCATGACATCTTGAAGATGCCGTTACCACAGAAACGGATTTTTGGGCATTTTACAAATTTTAGTCCATTAGCTATTTTTAACCATTTCATTTTAAAGAAAAGTGTCAAATTTGAAGCCTTCACATCAAAGTAACACCTTTTTTTCGTATTCATACACCGGTCGTTAATAATTTCTACACCTCTCCCGGAAAATTTAAAGCATACAAACAATTTACGGGAAACAATCTTGAATACACATATTTGATCACGTTAAAACTTGATATTCACACTGGAACTCGTTAAATTATTACAGTCATTTACATTTAAAGAAATTTTCAAAGGTACCTGCAGAGAAGTCCAGGTGACAGTCGAGGAGTCCGGGTCCACGGCGAGCCATCTTCAAACTTGAAAAACAGAAACAAGTACAAACCGATGAAGTACTTGTTGTGCTCTCAAGTTTAATCCGCTTTCAGTCAAATGTTTTGCAAAACTTAGCTTTCCACAGGCTGAGGTTGGAGCAGGTCGAAACAAGTCCACGAGCAAGTGTAAACGGACGATTGGAGCCTCGTGCAGCGTTTAAATACCCTCGGCTGCCATGGTTACGGTTGTCAACGTACACGTGCGCTGATAGAACTATATGAATGGAGCTGACCGCGGTGTAATTTACAGTTCATTTATGGTCATTTACTGTCAGCGGTGGAAGTAATGAATTACAAATACTCTGTAATTAAGTAGATTTTTTTGGGTACTTGTACTATGAGTAATTTTTCAAGTGTGTAATTTTACTCATACTTGAGTACAACTTACACCATGTAATCTACTTCGCTACTTATAAAATCAAAAGTCGCTGAGTACGCCCACGATTTGAATTAATATTCAAACCTTTCGTCTGCATTTTTGCAATCGCAACCGCGCCAATTTAAGACGTAAGCAAAGATAAACTCTGCTGCAGCAGCAGGCAGGTGTCTGGAGGTGCTACATGGTGGAGTACAAACTACTTTATAGACCGAAGATTTGGAGACAAAGAAGCCAAAACGGAGACAGAGGACAACACTGTCAACCATGAGAACGAGCAGAAAAGACGGAGGACGCGTGCCCGTGGCCATACCCGCGTGCCCGTGGCCGTACCTGGAGGAATTGTTCATGTGCAGAGGGAGAAACGGAGACAGCGTCCAGATGCAGTGCGAACTTTGACCTCTACAGTCGTTTCAGCTTACAAGACTTCAGCGTCTAATCTTAAAAACACACTGAGGTAAGAGGTTTTACAACTATGCGTGTATGATATTGCCTTCTTATTTTCCATGTGTGTTAAGGTTATTATTTGGCTAAGATATTGTCACCGCCATTGGTTAGCCTGATATTAAAATAAGACGGAGCTAGCTAATGTGCTTGTGTGCATGCATGTTTTAGCTTATTATTTGGACAACCACCGTCATTACAATAAATTAAACATGTAGTCATTTAAAACTCACAGGCCTACAATCAGCTGGCCTATATAAAAACCAAACTTGAACACAGTGCTGAGCTGCATCTCAAATTAATCTCCCAGCTCTCAGCTGACATGTGCCAGAGCCCGATTGATGGATCAGTTGATCAGGATCATTGGCCTGATATAGGTCTATCATAGTGACATGGCTCTTAATCAGTAGGGTTATATGTTTCCCAATATGATATATTTTTTAAAGAACATAATGTGGATTGTTTTTATTTGTTAGCTGTATGGGCAGCATTTTTGTGTATGTGATCCCTTTTCTTAAATTAGATTTGCTATATACACATATTTTGCTCTCTTAGTATTTTTAGGACCTGACTAATACTGAAAACTTTAGGGTGATACTGATAAAAAGGAGTTAAAAATTTAGATACTGATACATTGGTCGATACTCTTTTTACAGATAGTATACAGATTACAGGACTTAGAATGTATACAGAAATACAGAAATTCATGTTTTTTGCAATGATCGTTCAAAATTGGTTTACATTTGTAAATAAATACAGCAATATATCTGCAGGATTTGACCAATTCACCACTCTTTTATACTATGCTCAACAATCAAAGATTAGCTCAAGTCTAGTTGAATAATGTTTTAAAAATGTGTTTTCCTGTAGTGTTAATCACAGTGATGTTATGAAGTAATGTATGAACCTGACGTATGATAATATTTATCTCTACAGAGGAAACATCCATCGAAGATTGAGCAGT